GACCTGACCGCGAATATAGTAAATTCTAGGTGTGGTATCAATTATAGCCAATTTAGGACCATCTTCTTCCCACTGATTCGTTGTGTATACCATATAGGGAACGTTCAGCGCTATTCTGGCGCCAAATTGCGTGGACGCCAAGAATAGGTGTTATATTTGTGTTTGCTTATTGGGTTGTCCGGGTCCGTAGCGCATCGATACGTCATCGCTCTTACGAAGATGTGAGACTCCGCTCACACTGCCGACCAAATGGTTGGTCGCCTACAACCCGCAAAAAAATTTTTTTTGCTCAAGATTTGCTCCAAGGGGTAATCGATAGTCCTGATCACGATTCTACACTCCTCTTCATTACGTACTGTCGGGGCGGCGCAGCCGCGCTGCATTGTGGCGCGCGAGCGGCTGCGCTTCGGTGACAATTGCCCGCCGAATCAGCTGATTTCGATGGAAATCGGCGGCGAATTCCCACTTTTTCAGCTCTTCAAGCTTCGAAAGTGGAAGGTGAGTCATTTTGAACAATTTTAAATTGTACTGGCTCTAATTTCCTTTATTTTTATGTCTATTATTATGCTCTTTTCCTGTATTTTGCCTTATTTCAGGCATTTATTCAACTGGCTCGCATTCTTTCTCCCCTTTTTGACTCTTACTTCATGCTGTGTCTTAGAAGTGTTTCTGTTTATGATTGAAACACTCTTTGACATCGGTTTGAAGTTTGCAGTCGAAGTGGACTTCCTTATTTCCGGCCTTTGCTGCTGTGGCACTTCTTCCTCCAGTTGCGTGAGTTTCTCTTTTCATTTTTTTCTAGTTCTTTTTTGTGTGACTGCTTCTTCATCACTTTATCATTGTAGTGTTCTTGTTTATGATTAGAACACACTTTGACAGAGTTTTGAAGCTCGCAGTCTTTTTGAAACGTTTTTGTCATGCTACATTGCAGTGACCGGCTTGGTGCGTAAGTTTCCTTTTTTATTCTGCGTCAACTTTCTTTTGTTTGACTGCTTCTTTATCGCTATGACTTCCTCGTGTTCTTGTTCAAGTTTAGAACACAGCTTGCCATAGCTTCAAAGTTCGCGGTCTTTCTTGAAACACGTTTTTTGTTGAAGGATTCGCCGCTGTGGTCGCTTTCCCCCC